CCTGAGTTAGACTAAAAACCAACGCACTGCCTGTCTGCGTTCATGCTTCTGCTGAGCACACCTTATTGGTCAAGAGGAAAGTGCGCCCTGTCCAGACATTTCAGGTGGAATGCTGGGCTCCTTTTTTTCAACCCTGAATTTCTAACACTGCCAACCTGATGACCCAAGCTCAATCCCTGGACCTATATGGTAGAGCTGACTCCCCAAAGTGTCTCAATGACCTCTACATATATGCCACCACACACACACACACACACACACACACACACACACACAAGTTCTTTCTTTTGTAATATTTTTCTTTTTAGGGTTAGTGTAGCCTTGGCTGTCCTGGAACTCTGTAGACCAGTGTTGACGGAAGTTTCCGTCCTGCCTGGTCCCACAGCCGTTCAGTCCCAAACAAACACTGAGGCTTATATTCATTACAAACCGTTTGGCCTGTGGCTCGGGCTTATCATTAACTAGCTAGCTCTTATGACTTAATTCAATCCATTTCTATTAATCCATGTTTTGTCATGTGGCTTCCTGGCATTACCTGCATTCCATTACATCTTGCTCCCCACCCCTTCCTCAGTGCTCAGCGTCTCCTCTGACTCTGCCTTCTTCTCCTTGTCTCTGTTTGGATTCCTCGCCTGGTTCTCTTCTGCCTTGCCATAGGCCACAGCAGCTTCTTTATTAACCAATGGTAGCAACACATATTCACAGTGTACAGACAGATCATCCCAAAGCCCTTCCCCTTTTCTGTCTAATCAAAAGGAAGGTTTTCATTTTAATATAGTAAAATTACATGTGACAGAACAGTTATCAAGCACGAATTATAGTTATAATAGCTAGTCTATTTGTATTTCGCAAAGTTAAAGAAAATATTCTATCTATCCTACTTTTGTGAGTCTAAAGTTTTACATCTAATTTACCTTTTATCATAACTAAGTAAAACTATAATTATAACTATCTAGTCTTCAACCCCATTAAAGACCTGAGAAGGAAAATAATACTACCTGAGTAAACAGGAAGTGCAAGCGAGCAACTTCCTAAAAACTGCAGGAAATGGAAGAGACAGCTGGCTGCTTAGACAGTCACCCAAGGTTTCTCTGAAACACTGGGACAGCCACTTCCGGCTGCAGGCCTAGAGTATCTGACAGAGCATTTTCAGAAGCAGGAATTCTGAAAGACCGTCTTACCCTGTCTTGGCAAGATTCTGCAGTAGCTTTTCCTTGTGTCTTGCTCGTCTGAAAAGGATAGTGTGCATACTGTCAGCAGTTGAGGCAAGGGCAGTTCTTTGCCCAGTAGGTCAGTTTTTGCCAAGAAGAAGACAAACTTGCAAACGGAAATGTCTTAGACGCCCAACGGAAATGTCTTAGATGCCCAACATTCTCTCGGGATCTGATGGTGCTGCCAGGAGCAATCGTGTCTCACGTCTTCAGAATTCTAAGTTATTAGAACGTTTAAGTGCCACATTCTCTAGGTCTATGAGTGTTTGAAGATTACCTATCCATCTGACATATATTTCTGCATATCTACAAAACCTGACTAACACGACTAGAAATATGACGAGCATGGGTGACTATTAATCTGTAACTCTTATCAACCTAAATAACCTAAAGACTAAGGCTTCACATTATAAGAATAAACAGTCTGTTATACTGTAATATACTGTTATACTGTTATACTGTAACAGATGTACAGTATAAACCAATGACCTCCAATTTGTGACAACTTATTAAATATCTTAATCAGAGGTAGAAATGTATAGTGAGTGAAATATGACAATATCCTTAATATGTACAAAATATCTGAAACAGAGGTAGAACATACACAGTATGACAAATATAATTTTACATTTGTATCAATATACAAATTGTCTTACACAGAAATAGAAAAATAATTTTATATTTGTATCAATATACAAGAATACAAACCAAGGCAAATTATCTAAAGCTGATAGTTATTGATTTAGTTTACAAGTAGATACAATAATCTACCTTATTTCTCCTGTCCTATCTGACCAGCCAGGCTGGCCCTGTGTCTCTGCCTCCTGAGTATCTGGGATTAAAGGCGTACACCACCACCACCACCACCACCACCTGGATTCTTGTGTAATAAATAAAAAAGGTTCTTAAGTGAAGGTCTTGATATTACTGGGATCACCCTTTGGGGTTTTCTAGTCTCATTAATAAAAGAACTTAAGGATGGACTCAAAAGGAAACAAGGATTAAAAAAAGGGTGGGGGCCGGTCTTTAATCGCAGCCCTCAGGAGGCAGAGGCAGGCGGATCTTTTCTGAGGCCAGCCTGGTCTACCACTGAGCTCCAGGCCAGCCAAAGTGCAACCCTTTCTCAAGAACAAACTAAAACAAGAGGAAAATGAAAACCTCAAGCCAGGTGAGTTCTAAATTTCAGCAGCTAGCTGGAGGAGATAAGGAAAGGAAACCGCTGAAGGAGACAGGGAAGTCAGACACGTGGAAAATAAGCAGCCATGTAGTGGGAAGCTTTATGGAAAGAGTAAGGAAGCCTAAAATGTGGGGGGGCGGGGAGCCCAAGTGCTAAGGAAAAGCACACTTAGCAAACAGACAGAACGAAGGTAAAACCTAACTTTTCGGAGCAATTCCGAAGAGTGGGCAGACTTACCTCCTCACAAAGCTCAGTTCCTGGGCTACTTCACTAGGGGCGGAGACTCTGGGAAGGAAAAGTACAGCATCTCATTAAAGAACTAATCAAGCTGTCCTTCATCTCCTTAGTATGCTGACAGTGGTCCCTGAGCCGCAGCCACTGAACTAGCCCAGCTGGAATGTCGGGTCTCCACCCAGACCAGAGACTCCAGTCCCTTGACCATCCTCCTCTAGGCTGAACTCTAACTCCTGGGCCCTGGCTTCCCAAGTCGTTGGGGTTACGGGAATAAGCTGCCATGCCCAGTTGAGAATTATGGATTTACAGATAAGTTACAAAGGTAGTAGAGACTTCTGTCTGTTCTTTACCCACCTTCTGTTAGTGCGAACATTGTATATTACTAAGGTGCTTTGCCAAAACTAACATTAACACTGCTATGCTACTACTCATGAAATTACTCAGCTATCACTAGTCACATCTCTTTGGTTCTCCAGAATGTTAATAGAATGAATTCCAAAAATGCGATTGCAGTTAAATGATTACTTGCATCAAAAAAAAAAAAAAAAAATCACAAACCTGAGCCTGGTGTGGTGGTGTCTGTCTGTAGTCGTTAGGGAGACTGAGTCAGAAAAGTTTCAATCTGTGGTCAGCCTGGGTTGTATAACGAGAGCCTGCCTAAACATAAACACACACCACAACCTGGCTGGCTGCAGGCCATCCCTAGCGCACACTTGGCATGCACAGGCCCGGGTTCAAGCTTCGGCACAGAAAAAGCATTACCAAGTCCCTATCTTTCAAAGAAATTATCAGACCTTTATAACTTGTTCCCCGGTGGATTATTGTTAAGTTTCTTGAGGTTAGACAGAGTGTGATTGAAACTGTTTTAAGTTGTATGTATGGGCAAAAATACCTACAGCATTTCTCCAGTTCTATCATGGCAAAAATTCTTTGTCGTGTTTAGTTGTAATAGTTGACCCCTCCTTATAACCACTAGGGGGCTCTGCTACCAGAGTTTCTATAATTTATGTCTACTCAGGGATGTTTCAGAATTTTGGACTCGAGCAACCTCCTTATTTCACAGATGAGGGAATCGTAGCTGACAACAGAGTTGGCTTGGGACAGAACGGGGAGTACAAATATCCTCTCGGACTCCTGTAGCACTGTTAGACTGGTCTCGACCTCCTGATCCTTCTGCTGACTCCCGAGTCCTGGGATTACAAGTGTGTACCACCACACTCAGCTCGTGTAAGTCTCACAATATTCCACTGATTAATTAGGTGAAGAAATACACGAAACATACTCCTAAAATAACACTTTATTTCTAAACGTTATTTTCAACATACCTCTCAGCACCCGAACTATTTTATTTGCTGTCAACTCTAAGAGCCACTTTCAAATCGCCTTTCCACATTATTGTTCGCTTAAAACTTATCTTACTAGTTTATCTTCCTCTCCATTCAATTATACTCACTGTTTAAGTGATATCTGCCAAACACCTTTGCAGGTCTAAAGCTCCTTCGTCCTCCAACTTCACTATAACATACACAGATTTCCATAGGCTTAATTCAGCCGACCTCACAGTGTGGTCGCTGAAAAACAGGCAGTCAGGGAACCTTGCTAAGAAACACAGATTCTTAGGCCCATCCACACTCTAGGGAAAGGGCCTAGCTAGCAATCTAACAAGCTCTCCAGGGATGCTGAAGCACATTCAAGTTTGAAAAACATGTTAGCGCTACAGCTCAGCAGTCATTATTAGCTAAACAGGTCCACGATTGATTAACTTCTGGCCTCGAAACCAACCCCGGGTGATACCTGTACCGAGTACAACCCGTGGGATCCAACCATGCATTGCACAACCTCAATACCTGGGATGACCGAATAATAGCTGCGTTATCATGGTTCCAAGAACAAAAGCTACGGCAGTGGATTTCCCGGGGTTGGGGGTGGTTTACCAACGGACGCTGGGCAGGACCGAGTTCCTGCAGAGTTGCTTTGTTTTTTTTTTTTGACCCAGGGAGGGCACCTCCAGCCCGTGGGCTCCGGGCCGGGCAGAGTTCGAGCCGGGGCTCAGGCCGCGTGGGGCCGGGTGGAGGCTCCCACCTCGGGGGGAGGGGGCGGGCGAGCCTCGGCACCGGAGCCTTCCCGGTCCCCCAGGGGCGGACGAGTCGGTAGGGGCTCCGGAGACC